TAAATATCAGAATAATGGAGATAGATTTATATCAATAGAATATCAGAATAATGGGACATATTTATATAAATAGAATGTCAGAATAATGGGACAGATTTATATAAATAGAATATCAGAATAATGGAGATAGATTTATATAAACAGAATATCAGAATAATGGAGATAGATTTATATAAATATAATATCAGAATAATGGGACAGATTTGTATAAATAGAAAGTCAGAATAATCGGACAGATTTGTATAAATAGAATGTCACAATAATGAATAATGGAGATATATTTATATCAATAGAATATCAGAATAATGGGACAGATTTGTATAAATAGAATGTCACAATAATGGAAATAGATTTATATCAATTAAATATCAGAATAATGGAGATAGATTTATATCAATAGAATATCAGAATAATGGGACATATTTATATAAATAGAATGTCAGAATAATCGAAATAGATTTATATCAATTAAATATCAGAATAATGGAGATAGATTTATATAAATAGAATATCAGAATAATGGAGATAGATTTATATAAATAGAATATCAGAATAATGGAGATAGATTTATATAAATAGAATATCAGAATAATCGGACAGATTTGTATAAATAGAATGTCAGAATAATAAATAATGGAGATATATTTATATCAATAGAATATCAGAATAATGGGACAGATTTGTATAAATAGAATGTCACAATAATGGAAATAGATTTATATCAATTAAATATCAGAATAATGGAGATAGATTTATATCAATAGAATATCAGAATAATGGGACATATTTATATAAATAGAATGTCAGAATAATGGGACAGATTTATATAAATAGAATATCAGAATAATGGAGATAGATTTATATAAACAGAATATCAGAATAATGGAGATAGATTTATATAAATATAATATCAGAATAATGGGACAGATTTGTATAAATAGAAAGTCAGAATAATCGGACAGATTTATATAAATAGAATGTCAGAATAATGGAGATATATTTATATCAATAGAATATCAGAATAATGGGACAGATTTATATCAATCGAACATCAGATTAATGAGACAGATTTGTATAAGTAGAATGTCAGAATAATGGGACAGATTTGTATAAATAGAATATCAGAATAATGAATAATGGAGATATATTTATATCAATAGAATATCAGAATAATGGGACAGATTTGTATAAATAGAATGTCACAATAATGGAAACATATTATTTAAGTAAATAATTTGTTTCTGAATCTGATTCAAACGTTCTTATATTGCAATCTATATATGACTGAAATGAACTTTATACTAAACAGAATGTCACTTGTTAGGCAACATGACCAATAAATCTGTCACCAAAAACCTATAGCCCACACACTATGATCTGAGAACACTTCAAAGCTCATATTTACAGTCGTATATATTTTTTGTCGTCTGAAGCAAACACTGTCTGTATATTTTGATTTGTATAATACAAATTCATCTGCACACTTTGATTTAAAGTAAAATACACAAACATTTGAACACTTACATCAGTACATTTTGATTTAAAAAAAAAATGTACACATATCAGTAAGCTTTGATTCAATGTACACATATATCTGTACACTTTGATTTAATGTACACATATATATCTACACATTGATTCATTTACACATACATCTGTACACTTTGATTCAATGTACACATATATCTCTACACATTGATTCAAAGTAATGTACACATACATTTGTACACTTTGACTCAAAGTAATTAACATGCATCTGTAAACTTTGATTCAAAGTGATGTACACATATATCTGTATACTTTGATTCACAGTAATGTACACATATATCTGTACACTTTGATTCAAAGCAATCTACACATACCCCTGTACACTTTGATTCAAAGTAATGTACACATATATCTGTATACTTTGATTACAGTAATGTACACATATATCTGTACACTTTGATTCAGAGTACATATACATCTGTACACTTTGATTCAAAGTAATGAAAACATACATCTGTATACTTTGATTCACAGTAATGTACACATACATCTGTACACTTTGATTCAAAGTAATGTACACATACATCTGTACACTTTGATTCAAAGTAATGTAAACATACGTCTGTACACTTTGATTCAGAGTAATGTACACATACGTCTGTATACTTTGATTCCAAGTAATGTACATGTACGTCTGTACACTTTGATTCAGAGTAATGTACACATACGTCTGTATACTTTGATTCAAAGTAATGAAAACATACATCTGTTTACTTTGATTCAAAGTAATGTACACATACATCTGTACACTCTGATTCAGAGTAATGTAAACTTATATCTGTATACTTTGATTCAATGTAATGAAAACATACATCTGTACACTTTGATTCAATGTACACATACATCTGTACACTTTGATTCAATGTACACATATATCTGTATACTTTGATTCAATGTACACATATATCTGTACACTTTGATTCAATGTACACATATATCTGTATACTTTGATTCAAAGTAATGTACACATATATCTGTACACATTGATTCAAAGTACACATACATCTGTACACTTTGATTCGATGTACACATACATCTGTACACTTTGATTCAGAGTAATGTACACATGCATTTGTACTTTGATTCAATGTACACATACATCTGTACACTTTGATTCAAAGTAATGTACACATATATCTGTACACTTTGATTCAGAGTAATGTACACATACATCTGTACACTTTGATTCAAAGTAATGTACACATACGTCTGTATACTTTGATTCAAAGTAATGTACACATACATCTGTACACTTAGATTCAGAGTAAGTACACATACATCTGTACACTTTGATTCAGAGTAATGTACACATACATCTGTACATTTTGATTCAGAGTAATGTACACATACATCTGTACACTTTGATTCAGAGTAATGTACACGTACATCTGTACACTTTGATTCAAAGTAATGTACACATACGTCTGTATACTTTGATTCAGAGTAATGTACACATACATCTGTACACTTTGATTCAAAGTAATTAACATGCATCTGTACACTTTGATTCAAAGTGATGTACACATATATCTGTATACTTTGATTCAGAGTAATGTACACGTACATCTGTACACTTTGATTCAGAGTAATGTACACATACATCTGTATACTTTGATTCAGAGTAATGTACACATACATCTGTATACTTTGATTCAGAGTAATGTACACATACATCTGTATACTTTGATTCAAAGTTATTAACATATACATAGACACTGTTATGAAAGTAAATGACATTTGTTAGTATGAAGTAACTGAAGACTATGGTACATTTAATGCAATCCTACAGGTTCAGATCTGAATTCAAATTATGATTGTGGAATCACAGAGCTGCCTATTTATGTAGAACTAACATCTCACTGTGTTAACATTCCTATTTATGTAGAACTGACACTTCACTATATTAACATTCCTATCTTTTCTAGTAGCTGCTTTGCTGTTGCTGGACAAAGTATTTGTACAAACTGCTTTAAGAAATTTCACTCATCAAATTTATACAAAATCCTCTGCTTCAAGTAATTTTCCCCATGAATTCATACAAACAACCTCAAAATTTTACCTAACAAAGTATTCTTACAAACTGCTTTAAAACTAATTAGACATTTTTACGGAAGCTTTTTTTTTCTGTCTCAAAGAACATTAACTGAAATAAATATAAATGATTTTTGTTTAATTTTTTTTTAAAAATAGGAACAGCTTTTTATTCGAGAAATCAAGTGTGTTATGAATATTGATTGGCATGTTTATGTATCATTACCATATTTTTTGAAAATGTGTTTGTGGTTTTGTTGATGCATGACATACCGTCAAGTGTTCTCCTACAGCAGCGTTACATGTCCGCAACTTCAGATAAGTCACACAAATATTGTTCTTTTTACATTAGGTAAGGTGGCCACAGGGAATACAAAATGTCCAGATAAACGGGGGTCCACACATACATTTACATCATTATAACCACACAAATATCAGGAGAGAATGAAAGTCCCACTATAGTAGGCCTGAGAGTAGGTGTGGAAATGTTCATTCACTCGAACACACACTGTTGACACAGCAAGTTAGCATCCTCCTCACCATCAGTCACGAAACAGTCCACAAGCACTGAATACATGCTACTCTGACCAGTGGTATGTGGTGAGGGGATGACTAACTTGTAAGACATGGATGTAGAATCAGGATCCTTCGTTTAATATTATGGCTAAAAACAGACCAGGATGCTTTAAAGCATCAAGTCATGTAAGAATAAACATTACAAAATTGTCCATGGAAGATGATGAAATTAGTCCATTTTTCACGAAAAACACTTGACAAAGGCAACAATAATGTAGGTGTTGAGAATAGGTTGGCTTTTGTTCCACTGCATACTGATTGGTACTGGCCAGAACAGACAGTAAGATGGGCAAATCTGCTCCGCTTTATTTTTAAGTCCATTACCTGGTCTGGTTTAAGCTTCCTAAGTATCAGTCCATCTTAACTTATGTATCCCATTTCCATTTTCTTTCTTTGTGTTTTTGGTTTTTGTTTTTTTTTGTTTTTTTTTTTTTGAAGAGAAAATGAAAATGAAAGTCCTTTGAATCAGCATAAAGTGTTTGGAATCTTCACAGTAGATGGTAAATGTCCATTATGTTTGGCAATTCTCAAACTTAAAGATATTTTTATCTGAAAGAATCTTCAAAATTGGTCAGTAAATTATAATATGAATCCCAAGAAGAGTTTTCACCAAATACTTACCATTGATAAGCACACTAACCCTTACATAAATATATGTACCTCTCCCTCCTCACCTTATCCAAGGAGGCTTGATCTATCAGATGATTGAAATAATGCAATATTGATTAAGACTTGTTCAGCAAGTAGTCATTAGGGTGACTACTATTTCATTACCTTGACCCCCACTTTAAGTCACACCTCTGGGGTCAAAAGAAAACAACGATCCAAACGTGAAGAAACCTAACCTATTGAAGTCCCCTCTCCTTGCTCCACCTCCTCCTCCTCCCCTGAAAGGTTCTCTTCGGCGATGATCTATCACACGCGATCGAGATCCATGTCGCGATTTCTTTGCTTTGCGAACTATTGCACTCAGATCTACATTATTGTCGGAGGGAAACATCTTGCACACGGTTTCTCCACAGCGTGCTTCAATTTCCTGTAAAAGGAATTTTAAACACATATCATAAAATACATAAATACAGTGCAACTATAACATTATTGATTGTTGTGAGAAGCAAAACAAGAGGTCTAGCAGTCTGGGTGGTCACCTGAGGTAAGCATTATTGAATATGGGTAAGAAGCTTTCAAGTGTCACATAAAAAAAATTGTGACATTAATGTTAGTGAGACTTAATTGATATATTTTAAGCCCTTAAGGTCTGAGAGCATCAATATATGCATACCATCAAACCATAGTGTTGTCCAGCTGCTGTGAGATATCTTAATGTAGTGTTGTCCAGCTACTGTGAGCTATCTTAACGCAGTGTTGTCCAGCTCCTGTGAGCTATCTCAATTTAGTGTTGTCCAACTCCTGTGAGTTTTATAAATGTAGTGTTATCCAGCTGCTGTGAGCTTAATTAATGAAATGTTGTCCAGCTGCTGTGAGCTATCTTAATGTAGTGTTGTCCAGCTGCTGTGAGCTATCTCAATGTAGTGTTGTCCAGCTCCTGTGAGCTATCTTAATGTAGTGTTGTCCAGCTGCTTTGAGCTATCTTAATGTAGTGTTGTCCAGCTCCTGTGAGCTATCTCCTTGTATTGTTGTACAGATCCTGTGAGCTATATTAATGTAGTGTTGTCCAGCTGCTGTGAGCTATCTTAATGTAGTGTTGTCCAGCTGCTTTGAGCTATCTTAATGTAGTGTTGTCCAGCTCCTGTGAGCTATCTCCTTGTATTGTTGTACAGCTCCTGTGAGCTATATTAATGTAGTTGTTGTCCAGCTGCTGTGAGATATCTTAATGTAGTGTTGTCAAGCTGCTTTGAGCTATCTTAATGTAGTGTTGTCCAGCACCTGTGAGCTATCTCCTTGTATTGTTGTACAGCTCCTGTGAGCTATATTAATGTAGTGTTGTACAGCTGCTGTGAGCTATTTTTATGTAATGTTGTCATCTCCTGTGAGCTATCTTAATGGAGTGTTGTCCAGCTCCTGTGAGCTATATTAATGTAGTGCTGTACAGCTGCTGTGAGCTATTTTAATGTAGTGTTGTCAACTCCTGTAAGCTATCTTAATGTAGTGTTGTTCAGTTCCTGTTAGCTATATTAATGTATTGTTGTCCAGCTCCTGTGAGCTATATTAATGTAGTGTTGTCCAGCTGCTGTGAGCTATTTTAATGTAGTGTTGTCAACTCCTGTGAGCTATCTTAATGGAGTGTTGTCCAGCTCTTGTGAGCTATATTAATGTAGTGTTGTACAGCTGCTGTGAGCTATTTTAATGTAGTGTTGTCCAGCTGTGGTGAGCTATCTTAATGTAGATATGTCCAGGTCCTTTGAGCTATCTTAATGCAGTGTTGTCCAGCTGCTGTAAGCTTTATCAATGTACTGTTGACCACATCCTGTAAGCTGCTTTAACACTTTCCAAACTGTTGTTGACTATAATCGACAAAAAATGTGCTCTCTCTTCAAAATGATGTGCTCCCACTTCTCCATTTTTGACTATAGTGGACAAGCTATGTTGGTGTTATGTGAATGTCCGTTATTGGTAAGTAGCAGACAGCAAATGTATTTTTCAAATATTTGCTATAAAGTGTTATCTAAGAATATAAAAACAATGGTTTTTTGCACCTACATATGTCATGTTTTCATCAGAGTATTGGATTTTTACACAAACCAACCATGATATTTCTCGCTAAGTTACTACAGTAAACAAAAATGGCGGACATCACATTGTCTTTGAGAACAAAAATGTGAAGAAATAAACATGGCTCTGGGAACATCCTGGATCATTTATATTTGGTTAGTACCGACATTGACATCTACTATAAGAACATCCATCAGAGATGGGTTATGCTCCCCGATGGGACAAATATGAAAAGTAACAAAGGGCAATAACTCATAAATTATGCAAAACAGAGAGATGGTTCTTATGCACTTCACTTCTTCTTATTGAGATCTATTGCACTTCACTTCTTCTTATTGAGATCTATCTACCTAAGAAGTGTCATGCTGATACCGCTTTTAGTTTTTGCTCTGGACAAAGTTATGATGGACGACAGACAAAGTGGCAACTATATGCTCTCCCTTCAGTTAGCATAATAAATCTTAAAGTGTTGGGTGTTCAATTACTGAAATTATACTGCTGGCATGGATGTATCGGCAGGTTTACAAGCTGAAATGTGCAAGATGCAAGACTCACCGCAAGTTACACTTTATGGTTAAAGCCCAACATAACTAAAAAGGTGAGCAAAGATGAGAAATATCTGAACACTTTTATCTGTCTTTATGTTTATACATCTTAACCTGACATAACAAAATTTTACAGTGCCACGAATCAAATGGCAGACTGTTTAAATGTTTTTATCCAGGAAAGTCGGACATGAGAAAACGTCATGATGTCATTCAGAATTCTCTTATGAAATTACACTAATAAGTATAGGAATGAAAATGTGTTAACCTGTCATAATGAATATTAAACTACAGTGTATAATTTAAATATTTGAAAATTTTTGTAAATACCATATTACTGTATAGCAATATTTGCAAAAAAAAATGTCCTGCTTGTAAAATCATTGGAGGAACGTTAATATGAAAATCAAGAACTAGATTTCAAGAAATTAACACTGTCAAAGGAGTTGTTTTGTGTGGCTTTAAAATTGAGTTCAATAGTTCATCATTTGCATCTTTGTCTCAGTTGGGAAGATGGTAGATGATCAGAGAAGTGACTCCGGTATAATTCCTGTCGGGAGATATTCTGCAGGAATGTGTTTTCCTGTTCATTCACATTTACAATATATAATGGTGCATGTACAGTGTATGTTGCATTTCCCTATTTACCATAAAACAACACAAATACCAGTTTGGATTTTTATTCCGGTAGTATTTAACCTGTGTAATAACCACAATATATTGCATTCAATTAACAATGAAGTGTAAATGCAAATAAATTCTATTTAGACAGCAAAATTTTGATACTTTGAAAGTATTCATTTTGGTATTTTTTATCGATTCTGATATCTTGGTAAACCAAACCCAGTTGAATTTCGGTTAAATCCATTGGATAAAGAATTGGTTTTCATTGAAATTTTTCAATAAATACCTAAATGTCTTAATGTAGTGTCGTCTCACTCATTTGAGCTATCTTAAGGCTATCTTAATATAGCGTTTCTTTGACAGACGTTTGAAGGTATTACTTTTTAATACTATGAAATGTTTATTTGAATATTGGCCAATGTATCTCCCCTTTTTTATGATCATACCTTTCAGTGAAAGTTTTAAATCATGTATCTAAGACATAAAGCCCAATTCCTGTATGATGTTTGAAGCACAAACATTTCCTGTTCTTATCTAATACATACCTGTCCATCACGGCCAATTTTCACTGGTTTGTTGTCATTCCAAGAATTATGTAGATGACTAGTCTTTGTGAAGGACAACTCTCGTCTTGTAGAGAAAAACAGAAGCCAAATAACTACATATGAATGAAATATGCATGATCAATTTCAAGCTGTTGATTACAATATCCTTTAATCCTTTGATTTTATTAACAGTAATATAATCTTTAGAAATCCATTACACTTTTTGCTTCCATGCAAAAAAGGGAAAATATTTCATATTTCATTTCACCACAATACCTATTGATCCAGTCCAGCTTGAAGACACCACTCAATGCTCTAGCACTTAATCCAGGAGGTAACACCCAACGGATAGGGGGGTGATCTTTGGTAGATTCCTCAACAATTCGCGCAAACCCTACAATTTCAGCACAAATTCTTAAGCAAAATACAAAATATGTACTGCATGGACTTAAATAATGTAAACCAAACGCTAACACCTTCGACACCAACTTAATAACTGATACCAACAACAAGGGTCTGTTGTATATATCACAGGTAAACATTAAGTATTTCTTTGGTAGAGTGGTATTTGAAAAGGAAAATGAAATCAAATATTTGTTTTCATGGCTGTCAGATATTACCATCTGGAAGATCACTAAAACTGTTGACTAAATGAATTTTCATTCTCAAAAGAAACATCATTGCATAACTAGTGCTCATTCATAGGTTTACTTCATCAGACCACTAATTGGCCTATCACAAGAGGGTCTGTGGTCACCACTCCCCAAGCATGTTTTACACCTTATGAGCATGAAACACCAAAGATTAACACTATACCTGTGATATCTTTGCCAATTTTTTTTTTACAGAACTGTCGGTCACTTGGAACACTATGTAAAAGGTCATTAATGTGGGATGTTTATGGTCAATAATGACAGTCAGTCACTTAGATCAGTATATAAAACTAAAATCAAAGGGTACAATTAGGTACTTCCATGCAGAAAAAGGCCACCATGGGGTTAGACCAAACAAATGAGTAACCTTTTCCTAAAGAAGCTTGTGACAAACTTTGGACCAAATCAGTCATTTCTAAAGACGACTGATTTTAATGTAATACATAATTTCCTATACTCGGTGTCAACTCTCTTGCCACAGACCCACTGTTTATACAAAGTTTGTTCTCCTTCACTAGAGAATGCTTCAGCGCAAATTTTGTTGTAGTGAAATAATAGTGCTTTTTGGAAAGCAAAATGGACAAAAAAATGTTTAAAATCCCTCCAATCCCCCCCCCCCTACTTTTAACTAAATCAAAATAATTTTTTTTTCTTTACATGGATTACCTTGAAATTTTCCACTTTCTTTGACAGAGAAGATCAGAATCACATTGTCACAACTCTAAAATAGAGAAAAATTATTATGATTATACAGATATTTTGTAACATTAGAACAATGTTTATGGTCATCCAGTTATGCCAGTATGATATAACAATGTTTAGGGTTGGACAGTCAATCCAGTATATTAAAATGATGTTTAAGGTCACTGGTGTATTAGAATGCGGGTGATAAAACTATCAGAGCAATGTTACAAGTGATCATACTACTAAATCTAATATTGAACAATCTATCTTAAAGTATTTTCATGTTGTGTAGTTTGAAAATCATTGTGATAAAGAAAAGCAGTGACATATCTAAGATGGCAGACCCAGTTGAATGTTTAGCATGGGAAAGTCGTATTGTATTACACTAAGGAGAGAGGCTTATTGCAGAAAATAACATGAAATTTGACCAGCAAGTTTGCTACGTATCAGTAATACTTTTAGCATAGATAGCATCTATGTGTTGTTTGACTTCAGAGTAACGATTCAAGGAAAGCCATACTCTCTTGCTTTGAAATAATACTGCTACAGCTACACTTCTGTATACTCGGGAGGAATTGCATTATCAGCAATTGTTGTCAATATTTATAAATGTAAGTAAAAAACTATTCCAAAACTTTACCCTGAATGCCTGATTCAGCTTAGCTTCATTCTGTGGAGGTGTGGACCAAACTCCTTTCGCTTTGGCTAGAGCAACATTTTCATGGTTGTTGCTCTTTATCAGGAAGTAGCGTGCTCCTCGGAACAGATATTTCAACTTTGAATACATACCTTAAAAAATCAGAAATAATTTTGAACTTTTAGCAACAAACAAATATTCTTCCATCTGATGAACTAAGATACCCACAAGTTACCAAGAGCTCAATTGTAAGCCTAGATACTGTAGTGGTCAGCTTTCACATGGGGGACACAATGTTAACACTTGAATATAACAAGGGCCCTGATGTAAGTCTGGATACTGCAGTAGTCAGCTTTCATGTGGCAGACACAATGTTAACACTTGAATATAACGAGGGCCCTGATGTAAATCTGGATACTGTAGTGGTCAGCTTTCATATGGGGGACACAATGCCAAAACTTTAATATAACGAGGGCCCTGATGTAAGCCTGGATACTGTAGTAGTCAGCTTTCATATGGAAATGTACCTATGTAAATGGTGTTTGATAACTTACGCCTCTGGGACGAATCATCAGACTTGTCACTTTTGTTATCATTTTCTTCACTCTTGTTTTCCTCTTCTTCCTCCTCAGAATCTTTTTCATCTTCCCCTTGCTCTGTGTCCTCACCCTTGTAACCACTCTTGCGATCCCACTCAATGGGTGAAATTCCTCTTTTCTTCTTCCTCATGCTTGGTCCCTCAGTATCATCATCACTCCTCATCTCAGCATCTGGAAGTATACATTTCTACATCAGAAGCTTCCAAGGGCCTGATGATCCTATTAGCACGGATGACTGACTTATGAAATTTGAGGCAATGAACTCAAATATGCATTGTATTTCATTCTGGCTTCAATAAAAAGATGCAAACCACTGTGATCAAGCCTATGAAACCACCGATAAACATGCTTAGCTGTAGTTATCATTTCAGACTAATATGCCATAGTTGTACATGCTTTTAGTTCAGAATTCTTTTGCCAGAATTATACAAAATGGACTCAGATCAACACTTCTCTTAAACATTAAATATCTTTGATAACAGTGCCTTAAGGGCTGCGGTGGTTGAGGCATCTGATTGTCATTTTCCATATCTCTCCAACTCTTGTACTCGGGTTAGAGACCTGCATGGGGCAATTGCCAGGTACTTGCCACAGGTTGGTGGATTTAATGTCTGCTAAATGTCTGTGATACCCCAGTCTAAATCAGTGTTAAATGTCTGTGATACCCCAGTCTAAATCAGTGTTAAATGTCTGTGATACCCCAGTCTAAATCAGTGTTAAATGTCTGTGATACCCCAGTCTAAATCAGTGTTAAATGTCTGTGATACCCCAGTCTAAATCAATGTTAAATGTCTGTGATACCCCAGTCTAAATCAGTGTTAAATGTCTGTGATACGCCAGTCTAAATCAGTGTTAAATGTCTGTGATACCCCAGTCTAAATCAGTATTAAATGTCTGTGATACTCCAGTCTAAATCAGTGTTAAATGTCTGTGATACCCCAGTCTAAATCAGTGCTAAATGTCTGTGATACCCCAGTCTAAATCAGTGTTAAATGTCTGTGATACCCCAGTCTAAATCAGTGCTAAATGTCTGTGATACCCCAGTCTAAATCAGTGTTAAATGTCTGTGATACTTGAGCTTGAATCAGTGTTAAATTTCTGTGATACCTGAGCCTGAATCAGTAAATGAGGTAACGTCTCCTGCACTACTTCCAGCCTCACTACGTGTGTCATAGTCCTGTGTGTCCACATGGTCTAGAGACTGCTCCACTGGTCTGACCTCATTGTCTTCCATCAGCAAGTCCAACTTATCATCAGACTCATCTGCCAAGTTCTCCTCCTCCATACGGACAGGTTCTGTTAGTATAAACAGTTATGACAACATCAATTTAAAAAATTTGTAACAAGGTAAACAGACACGTATGACTTGCCTGTAATCAAATGTGAATGGAATAAAACATTTCAAAGTACTTTGTTAGAAAACATTACTAAACTAAATTATAAAAGTGCTAATCTCTAATGCTAATGCATGAATATGATAACTCAGTCATTGGGATTGAATTCATATAATCCTGATTGAATTCAAGGGGTACACTTGTTATGATATCTGTCTGATGTGTGCATGACGGGAAAGTTAGATGAGATAAGCATTTGTATGATAGAACCACACAACGATGGCACAAATTTGTAATTCAAACGTGGCTGATAAACTTAGAGAGAGTACAACTAAGTATATTTCCTTATTAAGGCATTTATATATAGGTTTGACATTTGTTGTTATATCAGATACATACTGAATAGTTAAATACACTCGTGTTTACAAAGAGCCACACAGCCTTAGTTTACAGACACACACTTTATATCCATTATATATGTAAACATTAAATGGACGTCTCTTTACACTGTGTGGTGGAACAATACTGTGGTGGAACAATACTGTGGTGGAACTATACAGTGTGCAGGGACTATACTGTGTGGAAGGACTACACAGCGTGGAGGGATTATACAGCCTAGAGTGACTATACAGTGTGGAGGGATTATACGGTATGAAAGGACTATACAGAGTGGAGGGATTATACAGTGTGGAGGGACTATACAGTGTGGAGGGATTTTACAGTGGAGGGATTATACTTTGTGGAGGGACTATACTGTGTTGAAGGACTACACAGCGTGGAGGGATTATACAGTGTGGAGGGACTATACAGTGTGGAGAGATTATACAGAGTGGAGGGATTATACTGCGTGGAGTGACTATACAGTGTGGAGGGATTATACAGTATGAAAAGACTATACAGAGTGGAGGGATCATACAGTGTGGAGGGACTATACAGTGTGGAGGGATTTTACAGTGGAGGGATTATACTTTGTGGAGGGACTATACTGTGTTGAAGGACTACACAGCGTGGAGGGATTATACAGCCTGGAGTGATTATACAGTGTGGAGGGATAATACGGTATGAAAGGACTATACAGAGTGGAGGGATTATACAGTGTGGAGTGACTATACTGCGTGGAGGGATCATACAGTGTGGATTGACTATACAGAGTGGATGGATTATACAGCGTGGAGTGACTATACAGAGTGGAGGAACTCTGTGTGGAAGGACTACACAGAGTGGAGGGATTATACAGAGTGGAAGGACTATACAGTGTGAAGGGATTATACAGTGAGGAGGGATTATACAGAGTGAAGGGACTATACAGCGTGGAGTGACTATACAGCATGGAGGGACTATACAGCGTTGAAGGACTATACAGAGTGGAAGGACTATACAGTGTGGAAGGACTATACAGTGTGGAAGGACTATACTGTGTGGAGGGATTATACAGAGTGGAGGGATTATACAGTGTGGAGGGACTATACAGTTTGGAAGGACTATACAGAGTGGAGGGATTATACAGTGTGGAGGGACTATGCAGTGTGGAGGGTTTATACGGTATGAAAGGACTATACAGAGTGGAGGGATTATACAGCGTGGAGTGACTATACTGCGTGGAGGGATCATACAGTGTGGAATGACTATACAGAGTGGATGGATTATACAGCGTGGAGTGACTATACAGCGTGGAGTGACTATACAGAGTGGAGGAACTCTACTGTGTGGAAAGACTACACAGAGTGGAGGGATTATACAGTGAGGAGGGACTATACAGTGTGGAGGGACAATACTGTGTGGAAGGATTATACATCATGGAGGGACTATACAGAATGGAGGGATTATACAGTGTGGAGGGATTATACAGCATAGAGGGACTATACAGCGTGGAAGGACTATACAGCGTTGAAGGACTATACAGAGTGGAAGGACTATACAGTGTGGAAGGACTATACTGTGTGGAGGGATTATACAGAGTGGAGGGATTATACAGTGTGGAGGGACTATACAGTTTGGAAGGACTATACAGAGTGGAGGGATTATACAGTGTGGAGGGACTATGCAGTTTGGAAGGACTATACAGAGTGGAGGGACTATACAGTGAGGAGGGATTATACAGTGTGGAGGGACTATACAGTGAGGAGGGATTATACTGTGTGGAAGGACTATACAGTGTGGAAGGATTATACAGTGTGGAGGCACTATACAGAATGGAGGGATTATACAGAGTGGAGGGATTATACAGCATAGAGGGACTATACAGCGTGGAAGGACTATGCAGTGTTGAAGGACTATACAGAGTGGAAGGACTATACAGTGTGGAAGGACTATACTGTGTGGAAGGACTATACAGTGTGGAAGGACTATACTGTGTGGAAGGACTATACAGCGTGGAAGGATTATACAGCGTTGAAGGACTATACAGAGTGGAAGGACTATACAGAGTGGAAGGACTATACAGTGTGGAAGGACTATACTGTGTGGAGGGATTATACAGAGTGGAGGGATTATACAGTGTGGAGGGACTATACAGTTTGGAAGGACTATAGAGAGTGGAGGGACTATACAGTGAGGAGGGATTATACAGTGTGGAGGGACTATACAGTTTGGAAGGACTATACAGAGTGGAAGGACTATACAGTGAGGAGGGATTATACAGTGTGGAGGGACTATACAGTGTGGAAGGACTATACAGTGTGGAAGGACTATACTGTGTGGAAGGACTATACAGCGTGGAAGGATTATACAGCATGGAGGGATTATACAGTGTGGAGGGACTATACTGTGTGAAAGGACTAAACTGTGTGGAAGGACTATATTATTTGGAAGGACTATACAGTGTGGAGGGACTATACTGTGTGGAGGGACTAAACAGTGTGCAGGGACTATACTGTGTGGAGGGATTATACTGTGTGGAAGGACTATACTGTGTGGAAGGACTTTACAGTGTGGAGGGACTATACAGTGTGGAGGGATTATACAGTGTGGAAGGACTATACAGTGTGGAAGGACTATACTGTGTGGAAGGACTATACAGCGTGGAAGGATTATACAGCATGGAGGGACTATACAGTGTGGAGGGACTATACTGTGTGAAAGGACTATACTGTGTGGAAGGACTATATTATTTGGAAGGACTATACAGTGTGGAGGGACTATACTGTGTGGAGGAACTTTTTTGTGGGACAGAACTTTGCTTGGGTGGCGGAAGTATACCGGAAACAGGCTCTTCTGTCATCTTCACTTTATCTGTTTTTGTTGCAGGTTTACTCCTTGCTGGTCGTTTGACTGCTTTTTTCACCACTTTTACAGAAGACTTCTCCTTTGATTCTGCGGAGAACAAACATGACAATATTAAACCAATTTATTGAATATACTCACAGTAGAATAAATTCTACATTCTGCACACTTCTATATTTTCAGAAACAGGTATTACCCCTCCCTTTACATGATAAAAATTCTGGACATAAAATCAAGTAGAGAAAGCTTAAATTAGCCTCTAATTCCACAGTTTTGCATCTAATACAGAGAAAAAGGGTTGTGTTAACAGCTTACAGTAAGCTCAACTGATTGTAGTGAAAAAACATGCTAAAACACCTTAACAACGGAAACATCTGCATGGTCAGTTCAATTGATTTTATAGACAGGGGAAAATGTGTATGGTTAGTTCACCATACTGCTATTTCTACCTTTACTGGCCTCTGTAGATTTGATATCTTCTTTACTTTTTGTGTTCGAAGACTTCTGTGTAATCATTTTACTTATTGGCTTTAGATCCTTGCTGTCTATGACATCTAGACACTCAGTTGACTTTTGTTCACCAGTCACTGATGCAGCACCATCCTCATTTTTGACATTCACAACTTTTTGTGTTGTTTCTTTCTTCACAGGACGAGTCACTTTTGCCTTTGGTTTGACAACCTTTGCCTTTGCAGATGCTGGCTTTGGCTTGCTCCTTACAGGTTTCTTTGCTGTATCAAAAAGAGTAACATCAATAGTAACCAAGACACTGTCTAAAGTCCTGTGTGGACTGGCTTGTACCATATTGAAGTGAAATTTTGTGCCATCAAACAGATCTATTAATATAGACCAGCAAATCCTAAATTCTATTATGATGACTGTATACAACATTCCAATTAGTTGAAATGTCTGCTTAAGATCAAAGTCCAAAATTTTGGTCTAAGCCACAATATTGAACTTTTCTAAGTTTTCAAAAATTCTGTTGAGTATTTTACATTTAAGTTTTCAGTAGATCTTTCAGATCAATTCCATTTCTGTGAAATGACCATATCATTGAAAGATAAGCAAGCTGTCTCATCCATCAACAGCTAAGCATTTGGTGCTTTCAAACTCTGATCATATCATATAGATAAGCCACCTACGAGGTCTGATTGTTAATTTGTGAGCCTTACATTGAAGAAGTTAAGCTGTGATGTCCTATTTCAACTCTACTATTCCCCAGCTATTTCTAAGGCTGTGAACCCAAAGACTGGTGTCATTTAGACCATTTATGTCGAAAAGGTAGCACTCTAAAGTAAACAAGGCAAATGGACAAAATCGCTGAAAGAGCAGTGATTCAACATTTGTATAAGAAAGGTCTAGCACCTAAGGACATCCATACTGATAGGGTAGCAACACAAGATGCTACAGTGAAAATGTAGGTGGTGGAATTTAAGCATGCCAGACATAGCACTGGGGATGCTGATGGTATTCTGATGGTATTTTATTGGCAAAACGAATAAACAATCACTGGCACATACCATGCATCACTTCTTTGGCAGTGACAATGCCCCTGTTCACAGGTCTGTCATTGCCATGACTGCCATTAATAATTGTGGCTTTAAATTGATTGAGCATCAGCCATATTCACCTAATCTCGTTCCATCAGACTTTCATGTATTTCAACAAAGTTTAGTTAAATTACTAATCCTATGGCTTAATAAACAAACTCTTGATTCTATAGAATTAGTCATTCAGTAGCATTAATAATGTGAGTCTATTTTAAATTGTGCCAATAATCCATATATGTACAAACCATGCCTGTGTATGAAAGTGGCATCAGATATATATCAAGTACATCATAAAAGGTATATGGAAACACCTGATTACTCTTTAAACTCTTACCAGGAGTTTTGTCCTGCTCTCCTATTTCAGCTGTCAGCTCATCATCAACATGACCATCCAGAATGTCATCCAAAACATTCACCTCCACTGCCTCTCCACCTTCAACAGTATAAAGGTAATACCAGCCTTTACAACACGTCTGGACAACATCAAAGAATTTTGACTCAATAAACTTAAGGAAAAGACTTATGGGGCTAATAGCATAAAAGTCCAATATTCTTTTAAAACCACAAGTCTGTGGCATAATTCATTATTGTGTATTGAGATATTAACTACAGTGAAACCTCTCTATGAAGACCACCTTGGGGCTTGAATGAAAGTGGTCCTAAGACAGTGGTACAATAGGTTGACCTTTGACCATTAAGAACTGTACTAGAAGAGTAAACCACATGAAATGTACAGAGCATTCACCAAGATAAACAAGAGATTCCACAGGAATCATGGTGCCCATTATTGTTTGATCTTTATATGCTCTTTGAAAGTTTCATCTTTCTGCTTCTTTTCTCTTCTCTTCTTTGTTTTTGCTCTTAATTATAAGACATTTGAACATTCCTTTGCAAAAATGGTGATGATAATCTTTACCTGCCAAATCCAAAATGGTCACCTGGAAGCCATTTTGTTTCTTCTGATCAGTCCCAAAATCAAACGAGCACCAGGAAAGACCAAAGGGAACATACATATAAAATTTGAGAATCCCATTCAGTACTTAGCAAACTTAGAAATAGCAATAACAATTTTTACTATGCAAAATCAAAGATGGCTGCCTGTCAGTCATTTTGTTTTTCTGGTCAATCCAAAACTCAAACAAGCACAACTAGGGTCCTAAAGGATCCAATACATGAAATTTGAGAAAAATCTATAGAGTACCGTAAATTTCCGCATATAGTGCTCACTTTTTCAAGCTAAAACTGTCGTGTCAAAATGGGGGTGCACATTATACGCAGGAACATGCCATTCTTGGGGTTATCATTCCCGAGTTCTGCGTCCACCATATTGGATTATCTCCCTTCACATAGTTATATGTAAGAGTCGTCAGTCATAAATGATGGTTTTGGGATAAAAACAACAACAACCAAATTTCAAATGTTTTAATCATCGGCCATACACACTAGCATTACGGTGAATTTCTTTTTTTCGTTTCTCGTTCAAATAGTCACAGTCTTAATTTTGGTCAAGGTTATAGTAGTGTCTGAAGTAGATCGAAAGTAAGTGGTGTTTGGTCGTCATTCCCAATCCTTGACGGGTCAATTTTATATGTCTGCCTCATTTTGATGATGTAACTCTGGAATTCAGTGAGACTGTCTTCGTAGTCATCCGGAAGTTTTTGATCGATTGTCGTTCTCCGGATACTCAGCATGTGTCTGTTCATAAATCGGACAGCCCATCCCATTGATGCCTAAAGTTGGTGACCCCATGACCTCTCTTTATCTGCATAGCCCCACGCGCAGTTATGTTGTACCGACAGCGATGCTGGCATCGATTGCGTACAAAGTTGAACATCTCCCTCTCCATCTCTGGGTGTTTCGCTGTCGCACCTCTGTCAGCCCTTCTGGTGAGGACTTTAGACATTCTTCTTTTTTTTCCATGCCCTGACATATGACTATGGAATTTCGGAAGTGGCAACCGGCGACACAAAACCCAAGTGTCTCGGCGTAGTCAATGGTGTCCGGTTTTTCTTTCGCTGTAAACTGACGTTCGCAGTTTCCTCATGTCAAAGTCGGTGTAAACAATCTATAACTAAGTACCTTCGGATACCATGGTAGTTACAGATGTGGGGACTGAAAATTTACAGACAGTTAAAACAACATCGTTTTCTGACCAATAGCATGTGTTCAGCCCAAGCTGGGTGTCATCAATCTCCTCATATTCAACGTGTTACCTGTTGAGAACCGTTAATTATCCAATTAGCCAAGTCTTTCATGCTTGTTAAGTCAGGCACCTAAGTGTTTACATAGGTAATTAAATGTGGTAGGGTCTCGCTCATTGTGGTTTCTTAATTATCAATGGATCAAACCACATCAACTGTTTCATCGCCCTAACCTGTAATGAATTAAACTTTCTGTAGAAAATCTGTGGTTTTTTTTATCTGACCCCAAAAAAGTAGCTGTGCATTATACCCGAGTGCACATTATACCCACAAATTTACAGTAGTTGTCAAGAAATAGTGATAAAAACTTGCAAAAACACAGTATATATAAATGACTTCTCCGAATACGTCAAACATATCACCCAATCAGGCGACAAATGTCATTTACAAAACCATACACAACATAGAATACACCTACAAATTGAAAGAGGATCTTGAAGCAGCAGGAAGGTGGGAGAATCATTGGCTATTGTCCTTTCACATGAACAATAAAAATAATGTCATCACCACAACTAACAAATGCACAAAAAAATCAATTACACATACCAACTACAATATGTAGAATCATGCATATACCTAGGCATCACACTAAACAGCAACTAAAAATGGGACACATACACTTCAACAACATCACTGTAAACGAAAACAGGACATTAGGATTCCTCAAACACAGTCTACAGATGACATGATGGAAAACCTCTACTGGCCAACTAAGTACAAAAATCATGTTATTTCACAAAAATATACACAATCATGTCACAAGAGATGGGATTACCATTCTACATCACATAGACCAGAAAAGCACATCCTTACACTTTCACATTTCTGCCACTGACACTAACAAATATCCATTCTTCCCACACACAGTAATGGTAGAACTCATCACCGGTGGCAGCAGTACAAAGCACTACACTAGACGTCTTCAACTTTTAAGTCACACATTTACAACATAACCTTGAATACCTCAAACCAACTCCCTCGGCACTATTAATTTTAACTTTTCTTATCTTAACAACGAAAACCTAACTGCAAATACTAATCACGCCTCTGTACATTCCCTATAAATTGAATCATTAGTTTCGGATGGCATTTGTGTACTTGGAAAAGATTATCTAATAAAAACAGACAAGTGGCGGTACCCTCTCGGACTTGCCCCGACGTTGCATTCCTTGACAGTGGTTTGCCCCGACCTGAATATACCATTATACAAAATATTGGCCGAATACACGTGTCGTACAAAATAGTGTTGTATAAAAAAGAAACTGTGATTGTCGGTATGGACACCGATGTACAACATGTGATCAGAATCCGGTATAAAGCATCATCACCGTCGCTTGGAGTCATCTATTACCTTTCGTGTCTCCCATATCGACATTCATTGCGCTCTTTATCTCATTTGAAAGTTAACCAATGCTTCAGACAACTGCACGTCCTTTTGTTGTTCAATTTCTAATGATGGTAAAATAGTAAATTATAAACAAAGAGATTGCAAGTGACTCCACGGTTTCAAAATGGCTGCATAAACTATCCAAGTCTCGTCAGTTCTCACGATACCTTCGAATGCCATTCGATATTTAGACATCGTCTCGGTCCACCAGACGCTTCTTGAAGTATTCGGAGATGATAAGTCTAGAGCACTTACGACTGTCACGGGAGTAGGCTGTTTACGGCGAAGCAATGGTAATCTATATTTACACTTGTTTAGTCTAAGATGACATAGCAGTGTAAAATGCGATGTTCATATAGAGGGGACAGATTATTTCCCCAGAATTAGTTGCAAATTATCAACTCAGTCCGTAATTGGTTACCATACGTGTCAAACTGTCACAGTTTCAAGTCAGGATCCCCAGCTATGTACAGTGATCCAGAACAACAATAACTACTATAGAAACTCCATTGGAAATAAGCCACGCACTGGCTTTATGGACCATCCTAGGTATCAACTGGCATTTTTAGTGATATATCTTAAGAATTATAGTTCACTCGTACCCATTTCAAACATGGTGAACTCGTACCCATTGACATTGGCTGACTCGTACCAAATGTTGGTGAACCCGTACCTACCACATACAACATTGTAAATTTTTTATTGGGGATACGCGAAAAACTTTTTATCTTGAAGCTCAACATATGCTTCCAGTTTGATTACGATATTTTGATCAAGGGAGAAAACTCGTACTCATACCAGGTCATTTGAAAGAGATATTCAGCACAAGTAAGGTTTTCGTAGGATGAAGTAAACTGTACATATGTTACTATGGAAAAGGTACACCTCAATTAACCCAATACTCTGCATAAAATCTATGATCAAGTGACCTTTCAGATTTCCCAATGCTCTATATTTAGACAGTTGAACTGGAAGTATTTCCCCCAAATTTGTTTGTCCAAAAACAGAGACCACAGGAAAGATATTTTGATGCTAACAATAGTTTTAAATGTCATTAGTATGTGGTATAGAACAGCAAGAATTTTCACAACTTGGATGCATATTTTTTTAAATGATATTTTTTATGTGTTTTATTGGGAAATATGATGTCTTTTTTGTATCTTTCTGTATTGATTGGAAACAATAAAAAAAATCATAAACAGTTTCAAAAATGTGTTTACATATATCACATTTATTTTTTATCACATTACAGTCCATTTTATACAAATTGTCATAACTAAATCAAATATTCCATCGAATGACTTGAGCTAATTTACAGATGGGAACATCTCTTCATGAGCGAGTAGCTACTGAACTATCCATCTTCATATTATTTCTATGGTCTGAACACTTTCGCCTGACGAGTACCAGTCTGAAAAGAAAAAAGAGGATATTACTTCAGATAGTATTAGAATATCTAGTACAAAAGTATCTTTTCTCCTTAATGGATTTCACTTTTGTTTGATATTGCAATGAGATTTAACAACCTGCAGAATATATTTATCTGCCGAACCTGTCTGACTCATCATAACTGTACCTGCTTCTTCTAATGTCCGCTCAGTTTCCCTTCAGACACTAGTTGCCTCTGTAGGGGAAGAAGATATAAAGATATACATCCTTTTTGCTGTAATAAGTATCATCAATAAAAAGAATTTATGTTTTACACCAAAACAGAACCCTTGTTATATAACTCTATGGGCCCTAGGAATAAAACAGAATTGAATTGAATGTAAAACCACTTCTTCATATACTTACAAAAAAAGCTCATCTGTGCAAGATTTGCAACTGAATTCAAGGTCAGTCTCACCTTTGTTCACAGCCCAATACAGATCTCTTAAAATTCCTATAAGATAACATATTTTTCAAAGTTTTCTTAATAAAATGGAATGTATATAACATGCAACATTTTGATGATAATTTTCTTAATAAAATAGGGCATATATAACATGCAACATTTTTATGATAATTTCCTTAATAAAATAGGGCATTCACAACGTGTTACATTTGATGATAATTTGTATATATTGTCCTTCCTGTTCTCAGACGTCATCACCTAATTTTCCAGCAAGACAATGCTCATCCGCATGTTGTGAGAGTCTGTCGTGATTTTATTATGGCAAACAACATTCAGCCTTTGGAATGGCCCTCATACAGCCCTGACATGTCTCCCATTGAACATCTGCGGGATGAGCTGAACAGGCGTTTTAAGAAACGTTAAAACCCCCTAACTAACCACACCCAGTTGATCGCAGCATTAACACAAGAATGGAACAACACTCCCTTAAGATGAAGTAATGTTCTCATGAATTCAATGCATTGGAGAATATATGCAGGGATTTGTGTAAGAGGTGCCCACACAGGCTTCTTTTTTGTGAGTAACTACTATCGACACGAGTGATGTCACACAGACTTTTCTTCTACTGTACTGTAAAGAGTAGACTTGACCCTTCACATTGATATAAAAGTTTCCCCAAATATCGTAGGCTTTTGATTGCATAAGTTAATTGTGCATTTCTTTTTTTGTGCTTACAAATATATATGCTACACTCACAACATTGGAGATGTATGACACATGGGTGCATTGTTTTGACAATTTAAGATTTTTGATACTGATCATTTCAAATAATAAGAGTATATTGCTATACTCACATCTTCAATGATAACACAGATTCATGTATACGACACATGGGTGCTTTGATGTTGTATATATTGTACATTTTACTGTCAACCACTTGTTAGAAGAGTCTTGTACTCTAAGTGTTATCGACTCTTAAATAAAGTCATTTATTATTATTATTATTATTATTATATTATTATTATTATTATTATTATTTCATGTATTTGATACCAATCATACAGATATATAAATAGATTCATCATGCCAATCAATATTGTTAATTTCATACATTGTCAACTGTTTATGCCTTGTGTCCCATTCCGACTTACTAAACACAGAGGTCTAAAAATTTAACAATAAAAAGTAACAATGAAACGCAACACAGCATAAAACAAACTTTAATGAAGTAATTGAAAATAATGTACAGGATCGCCAAAAACTGGTACAAGGTCGCAAATTTCTATAGGTACGAGTTAGCTATATATAGGTACAAGTGGGTTGGTACGAGTGGGTGAGTATGAGATGGAATGCGTACAAGTTAGCTAGCTACCAAGTAAATAATGCTGTTTAAATTTCATGTGGTAGACTCCTATGATTTTTGTTTCAAAGATAAATCAGCATTGATGGCAAATAGAGCATTTCACATGAATGACACAAAATTGGTTTTGCTCCATTGAGACACCAGCTTTTAAAGTCATTGCTTGTAGTTACACTAACTACCATTTAGTCAACCACTTATGTAAGAAAATTGTGTATATCTTTATGATAAACTGAATTTGTGACCCTATCTCATCTTCTCTAAAAAAAATCACACACATGGTTGTTAGGTGTGAAATCCCTATGTGGTAAATGCTGTATAAATGAGACTGATGAAGAAGTGCTGGTTACAGTATTTAAGAACTGATGTATAACAGTCTATAGACAAGATATTGTATTTTCTGTTAATTTCCATGCTTATTATATCAATTTCAGGCACATATGTCTACATTTAAATAAGTTGAAACTCGTCTCGAAATCAGTGGAGTCAAACTACCACTTGAGGCAAAATAATTTTCAAATCTCTATTTTTTTCCCTTCTATATTTTTGTAATTTTAGTTCAGATGACTTGAGTTTCATTTGAGTCAGAATTTTGGTTGAGTCAAAGTGATTTTTCAGTCCAGTCCCTTCAATTGTTAAGCAAGCTAAAAGTAATTCATTGTCTCAAAATTAATTTTTATCTAAACATTGGCATATCTTCTGATGAAATCAATCAATACATACACAGAGTAGAAAGTCACCTGTGCCTAACGCATAGCTAATTATGGTGTATCAGTCGATCGTACACACAACATTTGGTCTCTGGCGATTAATTACCAGTTTAATTTTCCAATTTAACGTTGGCTTCTTGATTATTGTTACCATCCTGTGGCAGTGACTTTTCTATATGTTAAAAAAGTAGCGTGTTTACACAATACATGAAAACATTTAGCTTGGTTGTGTTCATCTTCATGAACAATAAAAAGGAAACTGTCAAACCGGTAGTCAGGCACTTTGTCAGATTTTGTATTTAGACAATGAAGTGCTAAAAGTGTTTTTCATTAATAGAGTCTATATCTGTGCATGATTTGTCTAGTCTAGTACTTGTACAATGTTTTCTGTAACAGGTAAACACTTTCTAGTGCCGTGTTTGATGTGATATTGATATGATCCAAGCTTCCTACATTGTTTCTTGTAGCATATCAAAAGTGAATTTAGTTTCATTTTATTGTCATTCCGTAAAATGTATGTTTTATATGTACTTGTTCAGTAAGGGTATTTATACACTTGTGTGGGACGTAACAACGTGAGTACAAATGTAGTTTATTTAAGTTTTTATTACATGCTTTGTTGCTTGTATGAAAAAACGATAAAAGGAGAAAGTAAAATTAATTTATTTGTTTGTCTACTGCCATTTCAAATAACAGATTAAGCTGCGCTGATTGCATGCTTCCGTAGCCCTACTTCGTTCAACCGTAATCAACGTCAGGAAACTGATATTGTCAACCTTATTTATACACTTCTTTTGAATTGAAAGTCGGATAAGTCAAAATAATTTCCATGGTCCCTTGAATTTCAAGGTAACAAGTTTAGACTGTACTTAAATATTTTGCCAATGAATGTCAAGAAAAAAAATTTAATAGTAAATATACACGTATCAATATCTTCATCTTTGATGAACACAAATGCATTCTATACTGATGATTATTTGTTGGGAAATATATATAGCAGATACGATGAAATGACATGTTACATAACTGTTTAATCATGTTTGATTATGCTCAACTGGATTAATTTTCTTTTAACTAGAGAAAGGATTGTTAAATCATGCTTTTTTCAAAAGGATTTATAAATTATGCTTTTTTGGCAAAAAGGAAATTGTGCAAGCTTGCTTTTATTATTTCCTAGCAATGGATTTTGCGGAGGGGATATAAAGATGTTTGTGTACGTTTATGGATTTACATATGTAATGTGATACTTATCCTTATCAGTACTTTAGTAGTTGTATTCCTGAGTTCAAATTTCAGGGTTCTTAAGGTCATGGTCACCATTGCTAAGTTTTTGAAAATTATTGTCAGCAGTCTAACAGCTTTTATTATGTTTTTTTTTCCTTAAACTTCACACACATATAAAGAATCAAAATATCTCAGACAAGATAAAATAAAAAGATTGCAGGGTCGAGGTCATTGTTACTACTGTTAGTAAATCCTTTTTATGCTGGAGAGGCTCCATTTCTGCAGGGATTTTGTTCAAACGTATAAAGGACAATAATATCACTGTTTCAGGATTACAGGGTGAAGATCACTACCCCTTCAGTAGCTAGATTTTAATTTAAAATGCAAAGAATGATTGGAAACTTTTGAGCTTTCAGAATGGTCTCTTTCCATTACCAAACTAAGGATGCAAATGATTGAGTCTTAAGGCTGTTCACTATTTTGCGAATGGATCAAAGGGTAAAGACAGCTTTCAAATTTTTGCAGCACTGATAGCATTCCTATACTGCAGGCAGTCTGAGTGATGATTTGTTGTCTTTTATCCATTCTGTCCCTTAATAAAAGTTAAAACTGGGACATAAAGATGACAAAGCAATTCAGCTTTTGTCCCAACTCCTGTCTCCTTTTAGCCCACCATCATCACATGGTGCTATTCAAATCACCTTGCGTCTGTCCGTCTGTCAGTCTGTAAACAATTTATTGTTACCTCTTGGAAAGTACTGGATGGATCTTTCTTAAATTTCATATGTAAGTTCCCCTTGGTCCCTAGTTGTGCTCATTTGATTTTGGGTCTGATAAGAAGAAACAAAATGGGTCACAAATGGCCATCTTAGATTTTGACTTCAAAAGTTTGTTATCACTATTTCTTGAGAAAACTTTATAAATCTTCTTAAATTTCATGTATAGATTCGTTTTGGTCCCTAGCCGTGCCTGTTTGAGTTTGGAACTGATCATTAAAACAAAATGACCGATGGGCAGCCTTCTAAATATTGTTATCCCAATTTTGTAATTCCTTACTAATTGGATATCTCTCATATTTTGTACATATGTTTCCTTTCGTCTCTCCTTGTGCCTGTTTGATATTGGAACTGATCATTAAAACAAAATGACTTCCGGACAGCTATTTTGGATTTGGCAGGTAAAGATTATCATCAGTATTTCTGCAAAGGAATGTTCAAATGTCTTACCATTAAGAGCAAAAACAGAGGAGAGAAAGGAAAAGAAGGGGGAAGATCCAACTATCAAAGAGCATACAAAGATTAAACAGTGGTGGGTGCCACATTGATTCACATTTTCAGTCTCTCATATCTAAATGTATTCTTTGATCTCTCCCAGATTCCAGTTTTCCATCCTCTTAAGTGCCCTCAAGGTGTGGTTGTAAATATTAGCAAGGTCTGTTATGGCTAATTTATTGTGATTTTCTGAGATCTCTAGTGCATACTTTGTCGTCCTTCATAACTATGTCTCTTTGTTCTTCTTGGGTATATATTAATGTTTTCTTTCTGTGTTGGTGTTTTTTTAATGTTTTTTTCTGTGTTAATTCCTTTGCTATCAATATCTATTTCTTCCTTAACCTTTCTACTGAAACTTTTACTTTAAAGTGTACTTTATTTTGACTCTCAAGTGCTTATGATATCTGATCTGACCCAATGGCCAATCAACTTTATGCCATGTCACAGTATTGGTCGGCTGTCAAATATTTATACTAACTACTAAGTCAGAAACTGGTAAGCTAATTTTTAACCCTATTTGATAAGAAGCATCCTTGGTTGAAACAGAAACAATTTTGTATTTATTAAATAATTTGTCTTTCCCCTTTGGAACCTGAAGTACAGAACTCAAGATTGGAAACTTTGTATTTTTTTATGTAACTAGGACAGAATGTTCAAATTTGGTCTGAAGCATCATTCATTTCAATTTTGTTATGGGGAAATAAAGGAAAAACTTTAAAATCCTTCTTTTGTTGGGATAAAGTTATTATGACCACATGTAGTCAGAAGGCTTCTGAGGGAAAGGGGATCTATTTGGTATAAACTGTGGTTCTGAGCTTGTCCGGGCCTGGTAAGCAGGACCCAAAAGGTGAAGTTTTGCTAATTTTTTCAAATGCTTTATTTGTAGGAATGATATGATTTGTTTTTTTTCTTCTAAATTTTGTTTGAAGTATCCTTGAGGAATGAGGAATCTTTGAAAAAAGAAAACTCCTGCATCTGTGTCACCAGGGGCCTGACAGGTGGTGTCCAATAGATAACATTGAGGCAAAGTTTTAAATCCTTCTGTTAAGATGAAAGATTTGACCAAATTTGGTTTACAGTATCCTAGGGCAAAGAGGACTCAAATTTGAATAAATGGTGGGTCTTGGACCCAGGAATTTGGTTATTTTTCAAAGCAGAATTGCATCCATCTGGTGGAATGAAAGTATTTGATTGGAAGCATTCTTAGGAGAAAGGGAGTCAGTATACTACAGTCAATGTGTCTGGGCCTTCTGAGACCTGAAGGATTGACCCTAAAGAGCAAATTTTGTTTTTCTTAAAACATTTGGTCTTAGTTACATACCATTACCCATCCTTGATGGAACAGATGGACAGGCCCCCATAGGGGAGATAGATGAACCATTTCTTCTTCTGTTGAGATAAAAGTGTCTTGTTTGGTTACAAGTGTCCTTAGGAGGAAGGGGAATCATTCTGTATGGATAAAGCAACAGTGACAAAACCAAAGCAGATCAGTGATACAGGCATTTCAGCTTTTGCATAAATTTTTTATTACAGCAACATGAGGCATGGCCATGATAAATGAAATGGATGTGTTACGCGAAGAACTAGAGGTTCTCCAATCAGTTTACTGTCTACCTGGCGAGTGTGAAGTGGACAATTCTGGTCAGTTTTCAACACATTTGCTGCAGATATCTCACATTTTCAAAGCTGTTCGGCTGTTCAAATCACCCTGCGTCTGTAGTCTGCCATCTGTCCATTGTTTTAAATTATAAATGTAGATTCTTTTTGGTCCTTAATGGTGCCATATTGATTGATCAGATGAAAAATAAATGGCAGTTAGGTAGCCATACTGAATTATGACATTCAAAGTAGGAAGTAGAAGTAGTTACCTTTTAGTGGGTAATCTTCTCTAAGTAGGAATTAGTGGGTAGTTATCTTTTAGTGGGTAATCTTCTCTAAGTAGGAAGTAGTGGTAAGTTATCTTTTAGTGGGTAATCTTCTCTAAGTAGGAAGTAGTGGGTAGTTATCTTTTAGTGGGTAATATTCTCTAAGTAGGAAGTAGTGGGTAGTTATCTTTTAGTGGGTAATATTCTCTAAGTAGGAATTAGTGGGTAGTTATCTTTTAGCGGATAATTTTTTCTAAGTAGGAATTAGTGGGTAGTTATCTTTTAGTTGGGTAATCTTCTCTAAGTAGGAATTAGTGATAGTTATCTTTTAGTGGGTAATCTTCTCTAAGTAGGAATTAGTGGGTAGTTATCTTTTAGTGGGTAATATTCTCTAAGTAGGAATTAGTGGGTAGTTATCTTTTAGCGGATAATTTTCTCTAAGTAGGAATTAGTGGGTAGTTATCTTTTAGTTGGGTAATCTTCTCTAAGTAGGAATTAGTGGTAGTTATCTTTTAGTGGGTAATATTCTCTAAGTAGGAAGAAGTGGGTAGTTATCTTTTAGTGGGTAATCTTCTCTAAATAGGAATTAGTGGTAGTTATCTTTTAGTGGGTAATCTTCTCTAAGTAGGAATTAGTGGGTAGTTATCTTTTAGTGGGTAATCTTCTCTAAGTAGGAAGTAGTGGTAAGTTATCTTTTAGTGGGTAATCTTCTCTAAGTAGGAAGTAGTGGGTAGTTATCTTTTAGTGGGTAATATTCTCTAAGTAGGAAGTAGTGGGTAGTTATCTTTTAGTGGGTAATATTCTCTAAGTAGGAATTAGTGGGTAGTTATCTTTTAGCGGATAATATTCTCTAAGTAGGAATTAGTGGGTAGTTATCTTTTAGTTGGGTAATCTCTAAGTAGGAAGAAGTGGGTAGTTATCTTTTAGTGGGTAATCTTCTCTAAGTAGGAATTAGTGGTAGTTATCTTTTAGTGGGTAATATTCTCTAAGTAGGAATTAGTGGTAGTTATCTTTTAGTGGGTAATCTTCTCTAAATAGGAATTAGTGGTAGTTATCTTTTAGTGGGTAATCTTCTCTAAGTAGGAATTAGTGGGTAGTTATCTTTTAGTGGGTAATATTCTCTAAGTAGGAATTAGTGGGTAGTTATCTTTTAGCGGATAATTTTCTCTAAGTAGGAATTAGTGGGTAGTTATCTTTTAGTTGGGTAATCTTCTCTAAGTAGGAATTAGTGGTAGTTATCTTTTAGTGGGTAATCTTCTCTAAATAGGAATTAGTGGTAGTTATCTTTTAGTGGGTAATTTTCTCTAAGTAGGAATTAGTGGGTAGTTATCTTTTAGTGGGTAATCTTCTCTAAATAGGAATTAGTGGTAGTTACCTTTTAGTGGGTAATCTTCTCTAAACAGGAAGTAGTGGGTAGTTATCTTTTAGTGGGTAATTTTCTCTAAATAGGAAGTATTGGGTAGTTATCTTTTAGTGGGTAATTTCCTCTAAGTAGGAATTAGTGGGTAGTTATCTTTTAGTTGGGTAATCTTCTCTAAGTAGGAATTAGTGGTAGTTATCTTTTAGTGGGTAATCTTCTCTAAATAGGAATTAGTGGTAGTTATCTTTTAGTGGGTAATCTTTTCTAAATAGGAATTAGTGGTAGTTACCTTTTAGTGGGTAATCTTCTCTAAACAGGAAGTAGTGGGTAGTTATCTTTTAGTGGGTAATTTTCTCTAAATAGGAAGTATTGGGTAGTTATCTTTTAGTGGGTAATCTTCTCTAAGTAGGAAGTAGTGGGTAGGTATCTTTTAGTGGGTAATTTCCTCTAAGTAAGAATTAGTGGTAGTTGTCTTGGGTTGGGTAGTTGTCTAAGGTTGGGTTGTTGTCTTGGGTTGGGTAGTTTATTTCGAATCCATAGTAGTGAGTAGTTGTTTTGGTGTCAATAGTAATGGGTAGTTGTTTTGGAGTCAATAGTAGTGGGTAGTTGTTTTGGAGTCAATAGTAGTGGGTAGTTGTTTTGGAGTCAATAGTAGTGGGTAGTTGTTTTGGTGTCAATAGTAGTGGGTAGTTGTTTTGGAGTCAATAGTAGTGGGTCGTTGTTTTGGAAAGGGCAAATAGAACAAATTCTTTGAAATCCTTCTTTAGGAATGTCTGGATTCAGTCCCAATTAGGTCTGAATCATCATTGGAATAATTAGATTAAATTTGTGTAATTGTGGATCTTGACATCGGGGGTTGGATGGGGGCCCCAAAAGGAGATATTTATCTAAATTCTTCAAAGTTTTAACACTAAAATTTCGTTACTTTATCACTTTCATTGATTGAATAAGTGAAATTATGTATGAACAATTCATTTTGACAAAAGACTTTAAATTTCATCATTATTATTATTAATTTTATTTAAGTTATTAATTAATTTGTTTATACTTTTTCATTTTTCAAAATTTCGCATGATACATAAAAGTAACAAGACAAAATATACATACCAACATTTACACATATAGCTCATCATCATGATGATATCATCAAAACACCATAATAATTATATCCTGATCATGCAACTATCATTATCACCATCATCATCACAATCATCATCAATCAATAAATATTGTACAATTATTATTATAAATCATGCAATCAACCTCGTCCTCCTCATCATCATCTTCATCATTATCATGTTCATCGTAATCATCACAATCATATTTCATTCAGTTTGATGTTCACGTTTTCACCTAGGTTCAGTTGACTGCTGATGTAAATTTAAGATTGAATAGAAGTTATGAAACATTTCAGATGGATGTCATAAATTGATGTTGAAACTAAGACCTAACCAGGTTGAAACTGAAGAACGAGTGACTACACCAGAGATATGTTTGACATTCTATCTCAGTTCTCAATACCCAACCATTGTACCCCAGGTTTCCATTGTGAGTGCCTATCTACGACGTGACCAGCTGAGTAAACTGCGACAGGAAACTTCCATGTTGGCTCAGTCTTTACAAGGGCAAGCCATGCTAGCTGATCTTATTTCATTTGTACAAGAATATATTGACAAAACTCACAGTGAATTCACAGATCAGTCAGGTGCCATGTTACATGGAACATTTCATATTGGAAGTCAATCAGAACTATGGACAGCTCTATTGCAGCTTGATCATATGCGAGGAAGAAATAAATATGTCAAAACAATACAGAATTGGTGCACTGAGCTTGGACTTGAAGGAAAACTTTTGTTTCAAGGGAAATTGATATTAATCTTATTGCAAGGTCCACAATCCAAAATCAAGGTAAATATAAACATATTTGTGTATTGGTTATTATTGTCAAATGACTTTTTTGTAAGTTTGCTATCAACATAAATTGACAACATCAAGGTAAATATAAATATATTTATGTAAGTTTGCTATCAACATAAAGTGACAAAATATGCAACAAGTTTACACATATATGTGAAGTAAGGATACGATGTAAAAAGTAAAATTAAAAACATACAAATTGAAGGCCTAAAGTTTTAATATTAATAGATATTGTTGTACATGTGTTTTTCTTTATTTGTGCCCATATTTGTTTTTTGTTCAACATTTCTAGTGCAACTGACTCCAACTGGCAAGGAAACTCAATATGTCTTTCTGTCTTGTTGAGCATTTATCATTCTTGGATCATTGACATCTTGTCAGCTGTCCATCATTTATTTGTTGAATGATATCCATAGATATATTTTGTTTGTTGTCTTTGATGGTTTTAGAATAAACCAAAGACCATTCCAGCATTCGTTATTCACATTTTACAAAACACAAATATTGATATTGACCAAATTAGGTCATCTGGAACAATAGGAATTCCACCCTGGCTCTTGAATTCACCTGAAATTGGCTTTTCTTTTCATCAAATGGTTAAATCAGACACTGACAGTTGCGTCTTCCCTTTATCCTTCTCGAAATTGCAGTTAAAATGTAAAAAATTTCTACATTAATTTACTGATGGTTCAAACGATAATAATAAATCGCCGCGGCCGTGGTATCACAAGATGAACCCTATGGATGTCGGCTACCCAAGAATGCCTCAATATTCTTGACAGAAGTGCAAGCTTTTAACCTTGCCCTTTAACATATTTAAACATACAAAGTAATGAGAGTTGTTATCTATTCAGACTATCCTTCTGTACTACAAAGTCTTAGCAATAGAAATATGGAAATTATTTTCATTTTTAATACATTAATACTATATCATGAACTTGTCTTAAACTTTTGTATTGTTTTATACTGAGTTCCTTGACACATGGGGAATACCAGGCAATGTAAATGCAGATCATGCCACAAAGGAAGCGTTATCACTACCACCTGTTGTTTTTGAACTTCATTTTCCTGATTTTAAACCATTTATCAAACAATTTTAACAGCACAGTAAGAGGAATGGAATAAATATACATAGGAAATTACATTCCGTGAATGATCACTCTGCTATAGACAACCACAGGGATGAAGGTGTTCTTGCCCGTCTTCGGATGGGCCATATTTATCTTACACATTCGTATGTGTTAAAAGGCGAAGATAATCCACGGTGTATAGGATGTGATGAGCCATTCACCATGAAACATTTTTAATGGACTGCATTGAATTTCTGTCTACTTAAGACTGTTTTATTGTGACATAAGAAGTCTAAAAAAGGCTCTTTTTGAAACTGTTCAGATTTATAGATTTTTTGGCTATCTGAAAGATGTTGGTCTGTATTATAGATTATGACTTACCAGTTTAATCTTTTTGTGATCATTTTCCATTTAAGACTTTAAGCATTTTTCTTTTACCTTTTAGTTTGTTTGATATTATTTCCATTTGGATCATTGTGTCTTTCTCTGGTTGACAGCCTTAATTACCTTTTATGTGTTGACGGGCGATAAGATTGTAATAATAATGATAATTGACGGGTCATTCCATACGCAGTATATGCTACCATGTACCATGTATTACATTACCATGTTAGCTCAGACAAGTATGATGACTGCAAATCCCAGACAGAAATTTATGGAGTTACGACCCTTTATTTAATTACACAAATAGTGTCTGCTCAATTGAGTAGAAGTAGTTACCATCAACAGATTAACTTCACCAGGTTCATTACTGTGATTGCTTGGACAAAAATGATGACTGCAAAATATTTATGGATTAATGGCACTTTATTTCATTACAGATATAGTGTTCACTCGATATCGATATCATAAGAAAGTCCATTATCATGATAGCTCAGACAACTTTGGTCACTGTAATTTTTGGACAGTAATGCTCAAAATTATGGCCTCTTATTCAATTACCAAAACAGTGTCTGCTTTATATTGCAAAATAACAAAATGGCAGACAGACGACCTTTTTTTTCCTACATCGCCAATTTTATATCTTTAGTTATCCTACATTATCTTTTTGTCTGTTCATATTAACTTTTAGTAAGATGTCAGTTTCTAAAAAAAAATTGTCTGTCAACTATCATTTACTTTTTGTAATTCATCCATTCATAATTGTTTGTTGGGTTATTATCATCAACTTTTTTGTCATTCTGCCATCATGGACTTCTTGTCAGTTGTCCATTGTTAACTTTTTAATATGCTTCAGTGTACCCATCATTGATATGCTTGATTATCTTTTTGATTAAGTTATTAAGAAAACAAAAATAGAAGGTATCAAGACTATTAAGGTGTGATCTTCAATCTTGTCAGGACTTCATTATACGACAGAAGAGTGTCCGTGTGGATGTAGATTCTCGGGGTCGAAGTTGCAAGGAAAAGCTGATGCGTGTTCTGTGTGAGCAGAGGAGTAGTTCATCAAGTAAAAGGTGCTGTATTTCATTTAATTATAGTGATTCTTAGACAGAATTGTATGAACCTGGCGTACAGTTCACATTAAAATTCCTGTAGGTTCCTAACTGTGCATGTTAATTTGATGACTTAAACATAATATATATATCATCCCATGATTTGAATGTTGAGGGCATATCTTATTGTTACCATTGCCTGTGATTTCTTTACAGTTTCATTTCTGCTCATTTACTGTTCATCAGATACAGATAATAGTGATTTGTAATTGTTTGATGATAATATGCAGGTCAAGTTCTGATTTGGTTATAGTCAGTTATTTTTTTCAAAGTAATTGCCATACAGCACTACTTCAGATATAGCCAATTAAAATGACTTTAAATCTTTACGAAAGTGCTTCCATCAAAATTCTGTTAAAACCTTGTAAAATTTCCAATCAAAATTCAATTAAAATGGTTCCAAGTTGAGGGCAATTAATCTCTAAAGATGCTGTGAGAAATTAAAGAAAATAAATTACTGTTAAACAGATGTACATGTCATTGCAATTACTACGTAACTGATATACTGTTTAATGACAAGTAATTTCCATTTGCGTTAAATTACAAGTAAATTGATTTTCAGAGCACTTGAAATAAATGAATCTATACCAAATTAATAATAATTATCATATTTTTTCCAACCAATCAAAATTTCGTTGAGCTTAACTTTACAATTAAAAACCTATTATAAAGACAATCTGATTTAAAGAACATTTTAAGTATTTAACACCACTAGTTTAATGACTATTACATGAATACATTCCTCTCCATGTGTACCATGTTGTATCAAATTAAAATTTTTTAGGTCACTTGAGAGAAAGTCTCATAGTGACCTATTCTAAAACCCTTCATCCATCGTTGTGCGTCTGTTAACATTTCAACACTTTCAACCTCTTCTCAAAAACCACTGATCCAATTTAAATGAAATTTTGCAGAAACCTTCCCTGGCCTAAGATGTATCAAAATTGTGAATTATACAGTCCCCACCCCACAGGGGCCTGAGGGGTGCGACCAAAAGTTGCCAAATTGACTCAGATTTCAAAAATCTCCTGCTCAGCGCCCAGATATGTTAGAAACAAATGTTCTTCATGGATTGAAGTGTCTTAAGGTACTTCATTAAAGTTGTGAATTTCATGGCCCCAGGGTCTAACATTTCCCCGTGGGGAGGTGGTAAAATTGACTAAAGTTCATATAGGAAAACAAGATTTTTGAGCATAATTTGTTTAATTTGCATTGGAAATATTTCAAACTTGGTTAGATTTATGAGTGAAGGATGGCGGCTTGATGGTATGCACATACTGATCTTGACTGACCCCCAGGGGCTGATGGATGGAGCCAAAAGCAGGTCAAATTGACTTAAATTTTAAAAATCTTCTCAACACACAGATATGATAACTACCCTTATACCTTTATATTCAATATTGCTTATCTCAGGTGACTGTCAAGGCTGCTATGCCTCTTGTTTCATACAACTGTATTTATAGTCGATATAGATAGCAAAGATTCATCAGGGAAAACATAACATGCACCCATTGCAAAAGCTGGTAATGTTCTTACGAAAACAGTAAATACCACATAGAGACAGTTCAACATTAAATAAACCTGTACAGATGGACAGAATGCATTTCTACAAATATCTATAAAATGACTTCAGTTACCCTTTTTTATTTACAGGTTTACAGAATTTGAAGTTAAGGACTGTGAAACACCTAGAGAATTACAGAATGTGTTTACAGAGACTGGGCACGAAGATCTTTTCCACAACTTTGTAGAGACCCTTCAAGGCTTTCACTTGTAATAGTACCTGTTTTAATCTTTGTAAGTTTTACCAATCAATTAATGTGAATGATATTCAGTTGCATTTTTGTTTTGAAATGACATGCAACAGTTCCTAAGTAAATTTGAAGTGGACCACCCATTAGAGTGAAACTTAGATTTGATAATGTTACAAAAGTGTGAAGTAACTTCATTTACACTGATTTAAATCCTTTGCACTTATTTTATTTAATGACAAACGAAAATTTATGGAAATGGAAATAAATTATCTGAGTCTCAACAGGAACAAACACATGCGGAAGATAAGAAAAGACAATCACTCAAAAAGTATCATAATACAAACGGACTGTTTCTGTCTTAACAAGAAACAGACAGAAAAGAAGGCAAATTCATAAACACAGTTTTTTGGCACTGTAATCTTTGATATATTGGAAAGGAAGAAGAGTTCATACAAGAAACAGACGGAAAAGAAGATAGAAGTAGTGCAACTATTTAACAGGCAAATTCATAAACACAGTTTTTTGGCACTGTAATCTTCGATATATTGGAAAGGAAGAAGAGTTCAAACAAGCGTATCCGTGAAACTAATGAATTCTCCTCGAACGCGACTTTATTTAACACCAAATTCTAACAAAGGACAACAGTTATGTTAATGAGGGGATCCAGATCCTAATATTGGTACACTGCACATTGTCTTTGTATGATTAACGTATACACCAAGCTTCATTATTCTAGCTGGACAAGAAATTTTTAACGAAGGGCAATAACTCTGTAATTGAGAGGTCGAGGACAATGAATTTGGTATGCATCACATTATCTTAGTATGATCAAAGTATATGCTAAGCTTCATTATCGTTGCTTCACTGTGTGCAAAAGTATGCTATGGACAAGAAATTTGTAACAAAGACAAAAACTGTAATTAAAAGGCCAAGGGCCCTGAATTTGGTACACTTTACATTATCTGAGTATGATTAATGTATCATTCAAGTTTAATTGTCCTAGTTTAAATTTAAGCAATTTAAAGTTGTGCTGTAGATGCAAAATTTAGAAAGGGGCAATAACTCTGTAATATACACAAAGCTCTATCATCATAGCAAGCATAGTTTACTCTGAACAAATATTTTTAACAAAGGGCAAATGCAAGGACTTGCCTCCTCAACGAAATGGTTGTTTAATACAAGCTCTGTTTGCCAAGATTTGGTAAAGGCATCAAGATTTAAGAAGGATTTTGTCTTCAAGGATCATGTTTCATCCGCGCGATAGAAATTCTGAAAGAACATAATATTGATGTTAAAAAAAATGGCTTGAAAGCATTGCAAATAAATGATTTTCCAAACATGTCATATTTGAATAGAAGAAGGAACTGGTACATCCGACAAAAGGGAAAGGACGTTGTTAATACAGTGTTTTCTGATGAGGATAATGCAAAGCCTAAGGCAGATATCTGCCTAACCACTTGACTACTTGTACCCGAACTTGTGACAAAAATTCTGGTTGACCTAAGCAAATTCAACAAAAACAAACGTTGCTAAGATAAAGTCACAAATACCAATTTTGTAAGCTTGATTGCAATGTCTTGAAATTCTTTCATTTTTGACTGCAAGGACATTATATTATGTACAGGTAGACATATCCAGATGTTCAAAGGAAATGGCAGGAGGAATCTTAGAGAATTACTCATCAGATTAAGAGGGGAGACCGAGGAATGCAATTCCTCAAAATGACAAACAAGAGGAAAATGTAGTGTGCCCGCCACTACTTCATCGTGACGCTCGACATAAGGTGGCATGGTTGAACGAGAAAGAAAACATTTTGTCGATGATGATAAATTATTACTGAGTGGAGAAAAACAGCACTGAAATAGACATTGAACACAACATCGTCCATATTCCTGTATACTTTGGAAAATGTGTATAACAAGACATGTTAGATGAGAAATATAAGATAGATAATAAACACTGCAAAAATTCAAGTGTTTCTTCATGTTAACCGTATTGAGATTGTCGGAGCACTAGCACTTTCAACACCTCACTTCAGATAAAAATTCAGATTTATCATACTTTAAGTGTTCAAAGATTGTTCAAAATACATACAAGTGAATGACACATTTTGTTTCAAGTTTAGAATTCGATAAAGTAGAGCCAAACGATGAATAAAATTGCATCATACAGTTGTTCTAGGACTCGTTATTGATACTAAGGGCAAAAATTTTGAACCCTAGGAAGTGACAGAGAAAAATCAAAATAGATTGAAAAGAAAGTTGAATCTAGTTGGGGAGGTATAGGCAATTTTCATACATCAAATAATTTAAGAACAGTGTCAAGTTTAAAGTTCGATATCTTTTGCTGCGATTATGATTAAGGTTGATGCAGGTTACAGTGAACATTTAAATGCATTTGAAAATTATGAGGTTTAACATGTGCCTATAATAGAATTTCACTTTATTTCCAGTTGCGAGATATCTACACTGCTGACATTCAGAATAATTTGCAATTACTTAAAAAACAATATGATAAACCTTAAATTTCAAAATGAGTTGAAGTCTGAACATGCAAAATTCTTTTAAAAAATGAAAAATACAAACATAGCACTGTAAACATTATAAGGATGCAACACTATGATAGAAAACTGATGTAAGGACAGCTTAGGAAATATGTACAGCGCAAATAAGAATCAATAGCATTCAGTAAACAGTTGGCCAAAGTAACAAATTTTGAAGTAAAAAATCTTTCTGAACATATCACACAGTACTGGACAGTGGGACTTGGTTGTCTTGTATCAGATATCATAGAATATTGCACAGGGTTTTCCTGTATCAAATATGACACAGTACTGGACAGGGTTGTCCTGTATCAAATATCACACAGTATTGGACCAACTTGTCCTGTATCAAATATCACACATTATTGGACTTGGTTGTCTTGTATCAAATATCATAGAATATTGGACAGGGTTTTCCTGTATCAAATATCACACAGTATTGGACAAGGTTGTCCTGTATCAAATATCAAGGGGTATTGGACAGGGTTGTCCTGTATCAAATATTACACCCTACTGGACATGGTTGTCTTGTATCAAATATCACACACTATTGGACAGGATTGTCCTGAATCAGATATCACACAGTATTGGACAGGGTTGTCCTGTATCAAATATCACACATTATTTGACAGGGTTGTCCTGTATCAAATATCACACATTACTGGACAGGGTTGTCCTGTATCAAATATCACACAATACTTGTCACGGTTGTCCTGTACTGAATATCACACATTACTGGACAGGGTTGTCCTGTATCAAATATCACACAGAATTGGAAAAGCTTGTCCTGTATCAAATATGACACAGTACTTGACAGGGTTGTCCTGTATAAAATATCACAGCGTATTGGACAAGCTTGTCCTGTATCAAATATCACACAGTATTGGACAGGGTTGTCCTGTATCTAATATCATAGTGTATGGGACAAATATCAAAGCGTATTGGACAGGGTTGTCCTGTATCAGATATAGGATATTGGAAAGGGTTGTCCTGTATCAAATATCACACAGTATTGGACAGGGTTGTCCTGTATCAAATATCACACAGCATTGGACAGGGTTGTCCTGTATCAAATATCATGGAGTATTGGACAAGGTTATCATGGAGTATTGGACAGGGTTGTCCTGTATAAAATACCACACAGTATTGGACAGGATTGTCCTGTATCAAATATCACACATTACTGGACCAACTTGTCCTGTATCAAATATCACACATTATTGGACTTGGTTGTCTTGTATCATCATATATTGGACATATCAAATATATTGGACAGGGTTGTCCTGTATCAAATATCACACAGTATTGGACAGTGTTTTCCTGTATCAAATATCATGGAGTATTGGACAGGGTTGTCCTGTATCAAATATCACACAGTACTGGACAGGGTTGTCGTGTGTCAAATATCACACATTATTATTGTCCTGTATCAAATATCACACAGTATTGGACAGGGTTGTCAAATATCTGTATCAAATATCACACAGTATTGGACAGGGTTGTCCTGTATCAAATATCACACAGTATAAGACAGGGTTGTCCTGTATCAAATATCACACAGTATTGGACAGGGTTGTCCTGTATCAACATATTGGACAGGGTTGTCCTGTATCAAATATCACACAGTATTGGACAGGGTTGTCCTGTATAAAATACCACACAGTATTGGACAGGATTGTCCTGTATCAAATATCACACAGTATTGGACCAACTTGTCCTGTATCAAATATCACACACTATTTGACAGGGTTGTCCTGTATCAGATATCACTCAGTACTAGACACGATTGTCCTGTATCAAATATCACACAGCATCCTGTCCTGTATCAAATATCATAGAAAATTGGAGAAAAGGGTTGTCCTGTATCAAATATCACACAGAATTGGACAAACTTGTCCTGTATCAAATATCACACAGTATTGGACAGGGTTGTCCTGTATCAAATATCACACTGTATTGGACAAGCTTGTCCTGTATCAAATATCACACAGTATTGGACAGGGTTGTCCTGTATCAAATATCACACAGTTTTGGACAGGGTTGTCCTGTATCAAATATCACACAGTATTGGACAGGGTTGTCCTATATGAAATATCACACAGAATTGGACACACTTGTCCTGTATCAAATATCATGGGGTATTAGACACGGTTGTCCTGTATCAAATATCAAAGCTTATTGTACAGGGTTGTTCTGTATCTAATATCACAAAGTATTGGCCAGGGTTTTCCTGTAACAAATATCACACATTATTGGACAGGGTTGTCCTGTATCAAATATCATCATTGGACAGGGTTGTCCTGTATCAAATATCACACAGGGTTGTCCTGTATATTGGACAGGGTTGTCCTGTATCAAATATCACACAGTATTGGACAGGGTTGTCCTTTATCAAATATCACACAGTATTGGAAAATCTGTATCAAATATCACACATTATTGGACAAGGTTGTCCTGTATCAAATATCACACAGAATTGGACAAACTTGTCCTCTATCAAATATCACATATTATTGGACAAGGTTGTCCTGTATCAAATATCACACCGTATTGGACAAGCTTGTCCTGTATCAAATATCACACAGTATTGGACAGGGTTGTCCTGTATCAAATATCACACTGTATTGGACAAGCTTGTCCTGTATCAAATATCACACAGTATTGGACAGGGTTGTCCTGTATCAAATATCACACATTATTGGACAGGGTTGTCCTGTATCAAAATATAACACTGTACTGGACAGGGTTGTCTGGGGTATTAGACAGGGTTGTCCTGTATAAAGATATAACACTGTACTGGACAGGGTTGTCCTGTATCAAATATCACACATTATTGGACAGGGTTGTCCTGTATCAAATATCACACAGTATTGGACAGGGTTGTCCTGTATCAAATATCACACATTATTGGACAGGGTTGTCCTGTATCTAATATCATAGTGTATGGGACAAATATTAAAGCGTATTGGACAGGGTTTTCCTGTATCAAATATCACACAGAATTGGACAAACTTGTCCTGTATCAAATATCATGGGGCATTAGACACGGTTGTCTTGTATCAAATATCACACATTATTGGACAGGGTTGTCCTGTATCAAATATCACACAGTATTGGACAGTGTTGTCCTGTTGCAAATATCACACAGTATTGGACATGGTTGTGCTGAATCAAATATCATTGGGTATTAGACAGGGTTGTCCTGTATCAAATATAACACAATATTGGACAAGCTTGTCCTGTATCAAATATCACACAGTACTGGACAGGGTTGTCCTGTATCAAATATCACACATTATTGGACTTGGTTGTCTTGTATCAGATATCATTGAATATTGGACAGGATTGTCCTGTATCAAATTTCAAAGCTTATTGGACAGAGTTGTTCTATATCTAATATCACACATTATTTGACAGGGTTGTCCTGTATCAAATATCACACAATATTGGACAGGGTTGTCCTGTATCAAATATCACACTGTATTGGACAGGGTTGTCCTGTATCAAATATCACACAGTATTGGACAGGGTTGTCATGTATAAAGATATCACACCGTATTGGACAGGGTTGTCCTGTATCAAATATCACACTGTATTGGACAAGCTTGTCCTGTATCAAATATCACACAGTATTGGACAGGGTTGTCCTGTATCAAATATCACACAGAATTGGACAAACTTGTCCTCTATCAAATATCACATATTATTGGACAAGGTTGTCCTGTATCAAATATCGAACAGGGTTCTCCTGTATCAAATATCACACACTACTAGACACGGTTGTCCATTATCAAATATCACATTGCATTGGACAGGATTGTACTGTATTTCATATCATAGCATATTGGACAGTGTTGTCCTTTATCAAATGTCACACAGTTTTGGACAGGGTTGTCCTGTATCAAATATCACACAGTATTGGACAAGGTTGTCCTGAATCAAATATCATGGGGTATTAGACGGGGTTTTCCTGTATAAATATATAACACAGTACTGGACAGGGTTGTCCTGTGTCAAATATCACACATTATTGGACTTGGTTGTCTTGTATCAGATATCATAGAATATTGGACAGGGTTGTCCTGTATCAAATATCACACAGTATTGGACAAGGTTGTCCTGTATCAAATATCACACAGAATTGGACAAACTTGTCCTGTATCAAATATCACACAGAATTGGACAAACTTGTACTGTATCAAATATCATACAGTATTGGACATGGTTGTCCTGAATCAAATATCATGGGGTATTAGACAGGGTTGTCCTGTATAAAATACCACACAGTATTGGACAGGATTGTCCTGTATCAAATATCACACATTATTTGACAGGGATCTCCTGTATCAAATATCACACACTACTAGACACGGTTGTCCATTATCAAATATCACATTGCATTGGACAGGATTGTACTGTATCAAATATCAC